GCCTAGCCAGCTATCCCCCGTTGGTCCCTTAGAATACTGTCGACGGGCATTTAGGTTAAACCCCTAAATAGCGACGTAACATTTAAAATTCTCAATAGTTCTTAAGAAAATGGGCATCCTAATAAATTTGAATAATTCTATATAAACACAGATACTAAAATATTTTTAATAATTCACTAATTTTCTGGTCATAGGGTATATCATTATTGTAGTATAATTTTTAACACATGTACTAAATATCACATATATACGAATAAAGCGAAAAATCACCTAAGGAATGTTTCCCTTTTAGGGTAATGAAAATAACTATTTATAAACACATGTTTCAAACCAGTCCCCTACAATTCATTAACTACGTCCACGGCAGGGTTTCTATCACAATTAACTAACCACAAATAATTATCCAACATCTTAGGAATTTCAATAAAAATCTCTGGCTTACTTCATCCGGCGTAAAAAGCCATTTTTTCTCGTAAAAAGGGACGACGACAACTGCTCTTTGCCGAAAAGAGTGAAGAAGTGTAATTTTATTTATACAAGCATAATAGCCTTATACATTATCGTATATTCATAATAAAGCTTATTGTGCCCTACATTTATGAATAGCCTTAAATGTGCCGAACTAAATGAAGAAGCATAATTTGTGATTAGAATTAATAAGTTTTAGTAGTAGTACTTTATGCCTATGTATCCGCCAGCCCTAAGGGACTATGCCAAATTACCTCTCGGTAAAGTGTAGGCAGTTGAGGTACAGAGTAGTACTAAACTTATAAGAAGAGTATTTTTGAAGTGCGCTATATCCGTCGACAAGCCAGTTCTAGAGCTAATAGTCCGGGTAGAGTTCATCATAAAATATATAGTTCGTAAGATAGGAGACTACATCTTGGAAATATACTCTGCGTGTGTACCCGCCAGCCATAAAGGACTATGCCAAATTACCTCTCGGTAAAGTGTAGGCAGTTGACGTAAAGGATAGTAAAAGGTGTATTGAAATAATATTTAAAATATATTAATGAGGTTAACTGTGTCTGCGCCAGTCAAGGCTATACGCTGAGAAACGCTGGGCCACCACAGTCTTGTTAATTATATTTTGAATATAGATAGACATATTCTTATAATTATATTTTGACAAGTTCAGTGTAAATTTTAAGAATATCGATATCGACTATAGGGAATTCATAGAAAATATTATTAGTAAAAACATAGTATAATATAAAAGGAATTTAAAGAAGATAAAAAAAGGTAACAAATTATAATAGACGCAGGTCCCATAGTAGAGAACCCTTTTTCTAAATCTAATATACACAGAGAGACTAATTAATCGAAATAAACGCAAGACAGTATAAACGACTGTTGACACTATAGGAAGAAATCACCATAAAACCAACTCGGTCAATTACAAAATGAAATAAATGTAAGTGCGAATATTTATTTGCATGCCTTAATTCAAAAAATATCACGTAATAAACAAGAATAGGAATAAGTGAGGTAGGGATATTTTATTATTTAATAAATAAATATAGTTCGACCCCAAGATTCACTTCATCTTTACCCGATTATCTTTTTATCTTTTTTTTGTTTATTACTTCTTCTTCTTCTCTACTAAAGGCCTTGTCTTGTCGTTGCAAATCTGGATCTCCATTCTTTTCTGTTAAAAGCCAGTCTTTTCATGTCTATGTATCGACTACAGTCAGCTTGTCTTATCATTTCTTCTATATATGCTTTCCTCGGTCTACCTCTACCTTTGTGTCCATTTATTCGCCCTTCAAATATATTTGTTATAAACGAATTGTGCCTTAATAGGTGACCGAACATTTTTCCACTTCTTTCTTTTATGACGTTTAACAGAATTCTTTTTTCCCCTACTTGGTTTAATACATCTACGTTACTTTTCATTTCTCTCCAGCTGACTTTCAGCAACCTTTTCCATGTCCACATTTCCATAGCTTCCAACTTCTTCTTGTCTTGTCCATTGATGGTCCATGTTTCACAGCCATATAGTAGTACGCTCCATACATAGCATTTGACAAAATTTTTTCTCATTTTTAT